TACTTGTTAAAAAAAAAGTCCCTTGGTTCCTATTAACTCATATGGTTAATAGATGTCCAGTTTTATTTTGAGTCTCGTGAGTCTTTCTGGCTTGCTAAAATTCTCTTATGTTCCTTTCAGATTACAGATGAAAAACATATGATATTTCCCCTTTATTGTAGCAATATAGAAAGTTCAGATTTTTCTTGGCAGAGAAGACATGAAACGTACGTTTTGCAGTTATATTGATGATACAGGCTTTTGACCTTTAAAACAAATCATTTTTGGTAAATCTGTAAGGCAAGCACTAGAAATTCCTCCCAAATATGGGAAACAGCCAAAGTATTTGAAGTGAGTTATAATCAGAATAGAGTCTTTTTGTTTTCTGTTGTAATGCTTATTTTAACAAGTCTGCTTCTATATCCTGTACTTACAAAGAATTAGTACAATAATTTATAATGTTTACTGTACATAAAGATCTTGTTTTCTGTTTTACAAGTGTGACTCGCCTCTTGGGAGAGGATTGGTAAAAGGATATTATATACTATGTGGTGCAAAGTTATTTGTTTGGAACGTCTCTCTATGAATCATCTTCTAAACCTCCCAAGTATCCCCAAAGAAGGCTGAGAACACAAGGGTGTGATCAAAGACAGAGAAATGCTTTACTATGGAGATACGTTTATTTACTGTATATTAAGTAAGCAGGATTGTAGAAGTGTATCACTGTTTCTGGAAATACTCAAACCATAAGACATGGCTCTAATTGCTATAAGATAGTACAATGCCCAGAAGAGACTTATCATATCCCAGTCACTCCTTAGATCACAAGCATTCCAAAGAGATTTCTTGGAAGGATACAAATACAGAACAATGAGTAGAAAAAAAAGATGTACTAAAAAGCTGATCCTTCTTTGAATTTGAACAAAATTATTTATTATTATTCGTATTTCTATGCCGCCCAACTCTCCGAGGACTCTGGGCGGCTTACAACAAAGACAGTATAAATAATATACAATAAAAGACATTAAAAAACCCCATACACACCATGGCCGGATCTCACAAAATCACAGTGGCGAGATCAACGGCCCCAAGCCTGCCGGAAAAGCCAGGTTTTCACCATTTTCCGGAAGGCCAGTAGGGTGGGAGTGGTCCGGACCTCAGGAGGTAGCTGATTCCAGAGAGCTGGGGCAGCCAGAGAGAAGGCCCTCCCCCATGGACCCACCAGCCAACATTGTTTAGCTGACGGGACCTGGAGGAGGCCAACTCTGTGGGATCTTACCGGTCATTGGGAGCTATGCGGTAGAAGACGGTCTCGAAGATTATGAAGCTTTGGGAAAAATCGCAGTTACTATGAAGGATGCCAGTGCTGCACTACACCCAGTTACTCATATTTATTTAGAATAACAGAGCTGGAAGGGACCTTGGAGATCTTCTAGACCAACCCCTTGCTTAGGCAGGAAACTCTACACCCCTTCAGACAAATGGTTATCCAAATGCTCCAGTGTTGGAGCATTTACAACTTCTGGAGGCAAGTTCTTCCACTAATTAATTGTTCTGTCAGGAAATTTCTCCTTAGTTCTAAGTTGCTTCTCTCCTTGATTAGTTTCCACCCATTGCTTCTTGTCCTACCCTCAGGTGCTTTGGAGAATAGACTGACTCCCTCTTCTTTGTGGCAGCCCCTGAGATATTGGAACACTGCTATCATGTCTCCCCTAATCCTTCTTTTCATTAAACTAGACATAGCCAATTCCTGAAACTGTTCTTCATGTTTTAGCCTCCAGACCCCTAATCATCTTTGTTGCTCTCAACATCTTTTTTACATCGTGGTGACCAAAACTGGATGCAGTATTCCAAGTGTGGCCTTACCAAGGCATTATAAAGTAGTATTAACCCTTCACATGATCTTGATTCTATCCCTCTGTTTATGCAGCCTAGAACTGTGTTGGCTTTTTTGTCAGCTGCTGCACACTGCTGGCTCATATTTAAGTGATTATCCACTAGGATTCCACGATCCCTCTCACAGTTACTACTATTGAGCAAGGTACCACATATATTGTACCTGGGCATTTTGTTTTTCTTGCCTAAATGTAGAACTAAATGTAGAATTCTTCTCTAAATGTAGAAATGTAGAATATTGAATGCTTATGCAGCCCATTTCAGCCATTCTGTCCAAACTGGTTCCATCCACTGCTGCCCAAAGCAATATTTTCTTCTTTAGGTTCTACACAGGATCAAGTGACTCCACAGTATACGTCAAGTGCTCCATTCTTTCCAAAAATCCAACGATATACATATTCACTATCCTCCTATTCTTTGCTATAAGAACCTAGGAGAACTGTCTATAACTGATCAATCATTGCAGCCTCTTCAGTTTATCAGTTTATCTATTATACTTAAGAAATTCCTAGTCATGAAGTGAGGAATGAATTTCTTCAACTGTGTTGGATTACGATTTTGCAGTTTTTGTATTAATGACTTCCATCTTTTCCTACTATGTAATATTGCTTGTAACTCAGGCCAATTAGAAAACATCAGATTGGGAAAGTTAGCCCCTGTGATTTCAATTGCTTTTGCCAGATCTTCTATTCTTTAAATAGTAATTGTTTTGATGTCCCAAGCAGTGACAAAACCTGCAGAAAGAGGTTCCTTTCTAACAGCTAATCCAGATGTTTCCAAGCAGGTATCTTTCAGGTAGGCTAGGGCTGTTCAACTCCCCAAATTCTCTATTGGAAATGCTGGTTGGGAATAACAGGAGTTGTAGTTCCACATCTTGGGAGACCACCTGATGTATAGGAACCAGAACTGCACCAGAAAAAACTAAATTTACTGGTTTTTGACAATTGCTGCTCCTTTGATAAAAGTACATGGATAAATGTTGGAGGAAATGAAATGCAGGGATGTTCTACAAGAATGCACTCTTATCCAAGCAGCTTTACTTTTCTCACTGAGCTGCAAATAGTCAAGGCTTATCTCTAATCAATATTCACTGTCTGCAACTACAATTGATGTAGCTCATAGCTGACCTGTATATCTAAATTGAAAACATCTGGAAACTGGTGAAGTGTGACCAAAACCTGAGGGTTTTTTAGCTTTCAATGAGGGCAATAAATACTCTTGCAAATACAAAATTATACTAAATTGCAGATGGAAATCTGAATTAAATTATTTAGCTGACTGTCTATGGAGATTCTCAGTCATCCTGGTCATGGTTGTCCCAAAGGTGCTTTTTCAAGAGGCAACTGGACTTTCTTATTTTTCTTGAAGATGTTTCGCTTCTCATCCAAGAAGTTTCTTCAGCTCTGACTTCAATGACCAGTTGTCTGCAAGGAATATAAATCCTTCCATTTCCCACCATCCAAGACAGAGCTGAAGAAGCTTCTTGGATGAGAAGTGAAATGTCTTCGAAGAAAAACAAGAAAGTCCAATTGTCTCTTGAAAAATTGGGAAATATTTAGCTGCTGTATCTAATGTGCTTTGGTCTCTTTCTTTCCTCATCCCTATCCTCACATTGCTCCTAATTCCTTGTCTGCAAAAAAGTGGACTTCTGTTTCTTGGACATGACATTGTAAGGTTGGCTGGATGGAGTACTGTTTCTGAAGCAACTGGGTTAGGACAGAGTTGAGGTTACTCTACTGCTCTACTTCAGTTTGGGTATTAATTGTCTGCAGTGTAAATGCTCCTTTAGGAGGGAACTGTTTACCTTCTCTTTCTGGAACCAAATGATTCTAGTTTTTATGCTTACTACCAAAGGGATTCTACCACAAATATTTCTCTTAGACTTGTGATAGACCCAAACAACAGCCTGCTATAGATTTGCCCAGGAAACTCATTTTGTTTGATTTTAATCCTTTTAAATAGAGCAACAAATCCCAATGCGACATATGGAATTATTTATATACACTATGAGCTGCAGTGCTTGGAATGCCACAGTATTTACTTACTACATGTGATTCTTACTAGCATCGTCTTCTTTAATGAGTCTGAGGAAAGCAACCCAAACAACTTGTTACCCAGACAACTTCTCTCTCCCTCTCTTCTTATACTGAAAAGCCAAGGCTTACTCCATAAAGTCAGCCACCCCGGAGAGTAGAATAGATATTTTACTGATTTTACAGTCTCTGTACATATCCACAGGACATTAAGAAATTTCCTAATCCTGATTTCACAGCTTGAAACATTTCTTTTATTTTTTAAACACTGAGTTTGCATCCCGGGATATTTCCCAGGGCTGCAATCTATAAGAGTGGCCAAGAGCTTCTGGGAGGAAGAACGTGGTTTTGTAATACCTTAGTTTGTCTTCATAAAACAGCAGGGCAAACATGCATTTGTTAAGCTATGCATATGAAAACTGCAGATTTCCCAGTGAACCTGTACTCAAGGGGAACAGCACAGGAAAGTACATCAAAGAAAAGTATGCATGTTGGGTTAGCCTGCCAAAATTTAAAAGAAAAGGCGCAACCTGCGTAAATTTGGCCCATTTAATTTCTCTGCATTATTTTTCTCTTTGATGTAATACAGAATGAGCTGAAATATATATATCAATTGCCAATCAAATGTGGCTTTTGCAATCCTTGGCTCTTTTTCCATTTCCCCTTCAGGAGCGCCCCCCTCCTACCCCTCAAAAAAAGTTCGGATAAGTCTTGCCTTCTCATTACCATTTTGGATGAAGAATTTTCAGAACACGAGAAACCAGAGTATGTGTCAGTATGTAGCGCTGTGGCTACCTATCCGGACCTTCTTATTTCTCTGGAAATCACAGCTAGAAAAACTTTCTGTCGCCGTGAGGGCAAGAAAACAGAACTTCGATCACTCAAGTCTCCCCACCAACACTTTCTGCGAGGTCAAAGAAAACTCTGCCCTTTCCAGACGGGAAGGAGCGATCTGTTCTTTTAAGCAGGGGTCTCCAACCTTGACAACTTTAAGCTCCCAGAATTCCCCAGCCAACAAAGCTTAAAGTTGCCAAAGTTGGAAACCACTGCTTTTAAGCATGCATAGGAAAGCAGCCTGCCAACTTACGGTACCTCTTGGCAGGCAGGAAATGAAAAGGAGTTGCAGGAAGGTGGCGAGTCCTAAATGCTTCCAGGCAGATAGTGCCATGCTGCTGCTGCTGCTGCTGTTGTTGTTGCTGCTGCTGCTGCTGAACAACCGCCCTGCGCAAGGGCGCACGTTTCCAGAAAGGAAAGCAGACAGGGCGCGCAGGGCGGTTCAGCGCGTCCTTTCGCCTGGGATCTCACCAAGTGATGATTCTATGAAGGGTCTCAGATTTCAAGCCTCAGCTCTCGCTCCCCTCATCTTTCGAAGAAGGAACTATCTTCCAGGCTCGTCAGACGGCCAGACAAACACAACGACGTCACCCCACCCACCCACCCCAAAAAACTACTCAGCGGTAACTTTTAACCCTTTGTCAACGCGGGCAAAGCCGTCCAGGGGTTGGAAGGAGAAGACCAGCCAGACACAGAGCAGCGCTCTAGAGATTTAAAGACCGGGCTGGGAGGTGGGGGGGTGGGCAGAAATCTTGAGAAGGGGGAGGAAAAAGTGGGCATGGGGTTGTGTTACTGATCTTGGTGGGACACAAACTTGATTAAATGAATCCAGGACTAAAACAATTACTACTAACCTGCCTTCCATTGAGGACCTGTATACTGCGGGAGTCAAAAAGCGGGCTGTGAAAATATTTACAGACCCCTCACATCCTGGACATAAATTGTTTCAACTCCTACCCTCAAAACGACGCTATAGAGCACTGCACACCAGAACAACTAGACACAAAAACAGTTTTTTCCCAAATGCCATCACTCTGCTAAACAAATAATTCCCTCAACACTATCAAACTATTCACATTAGGCTGCATTACTATTGCTATTAGTCTTCTCATCGTTCCTATCACCCATCTCCTCCCACTTATGACTGCATGACTGTAACTTTGTTGCTTGAATCCTTACGATTTATACTGATATTGTTTCCTAGTATGATTTGATTGCTTATTTGTTCCCTATGACTATCATTAAGTGTTGTACCTTATGATTCTTGACAAATGTATCTTGTCTTTTTATGCACACTGAGAGCATATGCACCAAAGACAAATTCCTTGTGTGTTCAATTATACTTGGCCAATAAAGAATTCTATTCTATTCTTAAAAAGTTTAGGAAGTCCGTGCTGTTTGGTCCTGTGCAAAATACACCAAGAGTGGCATGGAAGGCTGTTTTAGCTCGACCTTTTAACTTGACACACTGCAGTACCATGGAGGGACACGTCCAACATCTGCCCATTTGGTCGTGGTTGGTGGAAAAAGGCAATTCAAAACATTCCTTTTCTTTCCATAAACTTTTCCAAAGGCATCTTTGAGAGAGAAGAGAGAAAGTGGCTTCATTTGCAATGAGGCTTTAAGGACCGAACTTGGTGTCAGAGTCTGTCAGGTAGATAGACTGAACTGGAGAGAAAGCCTCAGCACATCTCACTACAGTAGTAATACTGCTAGGAGAATGGAGTTTACAAATCCATGCTTTGAAGCAGTTCGGTATAAGGCCCCAATTTGCAGAGACAGGATGAGTGAGCAGGAAGAGCAAGCAGGTGTTTGGCAAAGGTGTTGGAAGAGATTTAAAAAAAAAAAGACAGGAGAAACCAAGGAAGGGAGCCACTGTTACTGCTGATAATTTCTGAGTGCTTCTACTGATTGCCTCTTTTGAGGGTTGTTGATTACCCATTGTTCCTGATTGGAGCATCTGGTTGGCCTAAGCAGCTCAGATGAAACTAATTTTCAAAGAAAGATCACCAAGTAAATGAATGCTGAGAAATAAGAAAACAATGGAGGGGAGATCAAGAAGGAGGCACTGCTTCCAGCTTTTCCCTTCTCTTTCAACTGGTCCAGAGGAGGGGTCTTCTGGGAGTTTGCAGAGAAAACATGGGAGTTTTGCATGGAAATACACCTGGGGGAATCAGCAGGGGTGATTCCAAGCTATCTCATGGACAGCAAGGGAAGCTTTGTTGGGATCTCCTAGATATTACGGCAGTACTTGTCTTCCTGCCTGAAGTAAATCCAGATGACACCTACTACAAGTATAAGCTTGGAATAAAAAACAAAGTAAGGGTGGAAAAAATCCTGTTTAGGATAGTTGAAGCTCTTCAGAAAATGCAGAGAAGTGGGGAAAATGGAACAAAAAAACCCTAATCTAATCAGGAAAGTGTTAAACTATGGATACTCCTTGATTTAAGGCCTCAAAATTATGATAGCATTGAACAAATGATGGTTAAGATTGGTCCTTGGAGTTCTGGCTGTCCTAGCACCTCCATAGTTACATGATCATGATCTGGGCACTTGGCAACTGGCTCACACTTATGACTGGTTGCAGTACCCTATAATCACATGATTGCCTTTCGTGACCTTTCTTGCTGGCAGGGAACATTGCAAGTTGTTGGGGTAAGTTTGTCCTACCCCCATGCCCCCTGTACTTGTGCCTCATTGGCCATATACTGTACACACATCAGTTTCTTTAGCCAAACGTCAACCCCAGAGACATTTTCTGTACCTAAACGAATACTAAGTGGGTGATGTTTTAATTAATTGAGCCTAACTTGATTGATTATAGGGCAGAACTCATTTTTGCTATCAAAAGTTCACCATCAAGAGCCTGATCATTCAATTCAATTATTTCAGTCTGGGATGTTCTTTTTCCCAAAAATAGAAGTATTCTATTTTACACCACTATATTTTACCCCATCCCAGAACTAGGTTTTGCTTCTGGATTTTTCTTAGAGGAATGCAATTTTGAAGCACATCTGAAAATTCCATTCTGATCAATAATTAAATTGCAAACTCTTTCTTTGAACTGCTAAGTGGGTATAAATGGTTTTTTTTTTTAATTAACAGTTGAGATGAAAGAATTGCATTTCCGGCATTCATTGAAACAAGATTCACTAATCTGAGAACTTTTAAGAAGGCAACTTTTCCTTTAAAGTTGATGTAAACAAAAAACTGAGAATCACACTCCTGAATTCAGTGCAAGGCCCAAATCCTGTTCCTGTTACACTCTTCCCAGAAGAGCAAATCTTGCAGTGTTAGTATCCAAATACTTCTTTTTGTGCAGTTTCTAGATTTGCTTTCTGTGCTCTACTTATTCTTTATAATGGAGCTGAAGCTCTCTTCAACATCATTTTCATGGTGAAACTGTGCCTAAAATGACACAAAGTTTGTTGGAAGGTTACAGTTTTGAGGACTTTCAAGGAAATAAGGACAAAGCTAACTTAAAACTTTAAAGAATAATGCACAGTGTGAAGAAACTGAACAGATTCTTGGAGTGGAGGTAAGTTTCTATAATCAATAAAAATAGAAGACTGACTAGATCCAGGTCAGCTATTTTAAGGGTAAATACTTTTTCCTCCACTACTGCAAAGTTTCATATCTGGTATTAAAGGCATTCCCATTAATGTGAGCTGTTTGAATAGCACAATTTCAGAAGAGTTAACGTTAAAATATTCTCCACTAATGCATTTGGATAAACATTCTGAAGAAAGTTAGCACCCACCCCTCTTAGAAGAATGAAATATTTTAGGAAATATTAGAAAAGCAGAATATTATATTTCCCTGGATGAGAAATTGAAAAACATGCTCTTGGAGACAGAAACTCAGCCCCAGCTCCCTGCCCACAGCAGATATTTTGGTGCCATCTTATCTACAAGACAAAAGACTGGGCCAGCCTATCTACAAGACAAGTAGACCTTCAGCTCCAGGCTGATGGGATTAAGACATGACTCTTAGGACATAATAGGATTAGCCCTCTACCCATCTAGCAACAGAACTCACCACATGGCACCTAGGGAGTTACATCAGCCCAAGGTTTACTCAAACTTAATTCAGACAGCCTACAAAATTACCCCTGCATAGCCACCTGGGACATTTCTTGCACAGGAACAGGAAGCTCAAGGGCAAGGCCCAAGAGAGGGTATAAATAACTCTTACTCTCCACTCCACTCTCCACTCCACTCCACTCCACTTCTGAGCTACCCAGAATCACCAGTGCTTGGTGGTTCTGCTTCACCATTAAACCATCCTTCCAAGCAGCCTCCATATTTCCAGTGTCTTTCTCCCCACTTGGAACTGAACCCAGATGGACATTTCTTCCAACAATTCTCAGGATATGCACCAAATAAATACATACACAGGAGAACATTACTAGCATTATTCCCCAACCCCCCAAAATGTAATTTTTTTCATACTTCCCTGTAAGAGAAAATAAAATTGCTTTAGGCTATAACACCTCTACTTATAGATTTTTTAAATAGAAAAAGATATAAAGAAAACACTGTATAACAGTTTTATAATGTAAATTGGGTGCAAAAGACAGAACAGCTTGCTTTTAAAAAAAGAATATAAGTACCTAATTTAACAGATTTTTAACTTTAACTGTTATGTTGAACATTTCCCCTTATTTAGAGTTTCTATGCTTATATTTCTTCTTTAGTTCTTTTCAAGGTACCTATTGAATTTTCATTACTTGAGTCAACGTTCTGTTTCTTATATTAAGCATCAATATGTTTCTGAGTATTTGGGCCCTTGGTTTTAACTTTTTTTTTTTTTTTTAGTATTTCAGAAAGATATGTATATTTCCATAAATCATCCTTCTGTCTTTTAAGGCTGTGACTTATTTGGAGGTACTGAAATGGTTTTAGCACTAAATTTGTTCTTCCTGTAGTACAGTTGAAACCTATTATTTTCTTGCAGACAATGCGGGAAATATAAACAAACTAAGTTCCTTCTTTATTTCTTACATCCTCTTTTCCAGCTTCAGCTAGTCCACCAGTAACTTGTCCTTTTTGCATCTTCTCCGATATAATATTTTAAAATATGTTCAGAAATGTATGCAATAAGCTGAGTACTGTCACGCCACATATTTGTCTATAGTTTGGTTTCTTGTTGTTGATGCCTTACATGGATTTTGCCAGAAACTACAAACTTAGATTTGTATAGTGGTATCTCGATACTTGACGTTAATTCAGTGTTTCTCAATCTTGGAAGCTTGAAGATGGGTGGACTTCAACTCCCAGATCATGGGAATTGAAGTCCACCCATCTTCAAGCTACTAAGGTTGAGAAACACTGCGTTAATTGGTTCTGGGAGGCACAATGGATACTAAAAATTACAAGTGACAAACAAACCAGGTGATATACCACGTGACCTTTTGTTTTGGCCAGGAGAAAATTTCTGTCTGTCCTTTTTCCTATGTCAGGGACTTTCCCAGAATGGCTGACTTCCTGTCTGTCCTCTATGTCCATCCCCTCTTCCTTTTGCAGTGTGCTAAATACCAAAGAAACGATGAGT